ATACACCACGGAAAACTTCAGGTGTGCGCGGTCAATTTACCTGCGCAGGAAGGGTTGCTTTCGCTATTAGCTGTCAGGAAATTCGTCAGGACGGAGAAGACGGGGATTTCGATAGTCTGATAGACGGAGAGACGGGGGCATTATTCTCCAATCCCCTTCGGAAACACAAAAGGCCAAATTGCACGAGGTGTTAGCCAGTAAGGGATTGCGAGCACCAATGGAGGTACGGTTCGGATGCCGGTTTTTGATCTTCGGAGGATCAGTAAGGGCTTCTCGGATGAACAAATTATAGAGGGACTGGTCCAAGAAAATGAAGGGCTGCGCGAAAAGGCACTGGCTTGCACATGAGGCTGTGTGCCAATGACCGTGCGACACTCCGTACGCCAAGCAAGTCGCCAGCGCACGAATCGAACGCTATGGAAGCAGAGCCTCCTGTTTTCAAGGAGGTAGTTCGCATGGGAAGGCTCTCTTTCAAATCCGAGCTGCACTTCACCGACAAGCGAGTGGGAATTATGGTCTGCTTCCGCTGTGGACTGTTCGGACACAGTGAAAAGGCATGTAAGGGGCAACCGGCCTGCAGAAAATGTGGTGGGAGCCACGAGGCCAGAGACTGCAAAGGGGCCGTAGAACTCAAGTGTATCAACTGCAAACGGGCAGCTCTAACTACGACGCGACATGGGGCTAACGACTGGTTATGTCCCATAAGGGCACGTAAGATAGAGAAGTACCGAAATGCGAAATCGTCAGGCTGAACTTCCTACAGCTAAATGCAGGAAGAGGCAGCGAAGCGAGTGATCTGTGTGGTAGGTTTGCGGTAGAGCAGGGAGTGGATGTGGTCCCTGAACCGTATCTGTAGATGAAGGAATGGATGGGTTTCAGTATGGATGGCAGGCGGAAAGGCCCGTATTTTTGTTAGGAAAAGTGTGGCTGCTCGACAAATTTCTACACTCTTGAGCGAAAACACCGTCGGTGTTACTTTGGTAACACAGGGCAGCGGGAGCATGCTTGTTTCCTTGTTAAGGAATGTTGGAAATGTTGCTTTCCTGCTTGTTAGCATGTTATTCTTGAGTACATACGGCACTGACTTTATAGGTGAGTGATTACATAATGAACGTATCTTCATGATTGCGTCTCTTCCGAAACCTACTTTTGCTCTTTGTATCACCAATCGCTGTTTTGCGCTTTTTTAGACTTAATTTTTTTTTACCTACTTAGTGTCGTCCTTTGGTCACTGCTTTTTATTCCTTTTTAATTTAAATCTTATTGAGATATCGAGGAGATAAAAACTGCTATTGAAGAAACTGGACACACAGTAACAAACGTCTATAATATAAGGGCAAATCGAACAAAAATGCCATTGTC